TCCTGAGCTGTGACGTCAAAGGTGGCAGACAGGGACCATTTCTTAATTTTAAGAGCCTTCAAAAGAGAATCGAGCAATGGTGAAATGTCTAATACAGTGGTTCACAACCTGGGGCAGGGACTGAAAAAAAAAGCTAAAAAAGTTTTCAATTTTCAGTGAAGGATTCCCATGATCTTGGAAAACTGCGGTTTAGAATAATGATATTTCTAGACTTGGAAAAGCTATGGAAATAAATAAAAAATATTCTAGATATGCCAAGCTCTAAAATATTTTATCAGGAAGAAATTGTGCATAAAGAAGAATTGTGTGAGAAAAATTATGAATATTTATCCAATGGGGGGGACAGGCTTATAATAAAAAGATGCCTATTCTGGGATTCTCTGTAATAATGGCCTCTTCTTGTCTTCATGCACTTCTGTCTTGTCTGAAGAAAGACAGACAGCAGGTGATAAATGCCTGGCCAGATGGATGGATGGATAAGCTGAATAAATCCATCAGTGGATAAACAATAAAAGGAAAGATAGCTATCAAAATCTTTTTCAGATAACACGAGCCTGGCAATGTCATTATAAGTGATACTTCATCCAAATATCTCGGGAAGTCAGAATATAATATGTAACTTTGGGTGAACATTATTTATTATTAGTCATTATTCACCAAACATCTTGCCTTTACTCTTAAAAATAAGGGTTCTTTATTGGCATCTATGGTTCCCTGAAAAATCTTTAACATCCAGGGAACCTGGTTCTTCAGATTCCTCACAAACGTTCTTCACAAACCCCCCTTTGGAACCTTTATTTTTAAGAGTGTTGACAGTTGTGGTCACCTTCACTTTAACCTTTAACCTCCTTTTGTGTTGCACAGAAAAAAAGAAAGTCATACAGTTTTTGAAGGACTTGACACAATTGTCATTTTTGGGAAAACTATTCCTTTACATGACATTTACCATTCGTTTAGCTTAAATCACTGATTACAAGCCTGTGAACTCATACACACACACACACACACACATGTAAACAGTAGCTTGTCCTATAATCAGAAAGATGTGTCATGTCTAATTAAGCCTTAATGAAAGTGTCGGACAATCCAAAGCACCATACTATTCCCTTTCTCAATTTGGTGGCGAGGGCCATTTAAGAAGGACTCATGTGCGGTTTCCCTGTCTAATGGAGTGGATGAATTTCTCCAAAGTGAAGGGAAAAAAGTGAAAAACACACTCTTGTTGCATGACAGAATCCCTCCCAACCAAGACTTGTCCTTTAATGCCAAGACCTTTTCATGTGGCATCTCCACGATTGCACATGGGGAAATGCCAACCACACTGTTACAGTGCTTATTATACACTAAGAGTATGCATATGTGGGTTACTATGTGCACAAGGAAAGATCGCTGCAGTTGTGCAGCATGCCTTAAATTGAAATGACACATCTTAATTTGTCAACAAGCTTACCCTTGGAAAGAAGAGAAGTGAATGAAATAAAGGAAACACTCGGTGCTAGATGCATGTGTGTGTACTACCACTATACAAAAAATTATGCAATGGAGGATGCTGGACTTCAACTATCAAAAATCTGACTGGAGAGACCTTTCTCTGTACATACAGTACCAAGGAGATCTATAATACCTGGTGAAAGCTACAGTATCGGTTGGCATTCACTTTCTTCTCTGTGACAGTTGCTTAGCTGGCACAGGACCCCGTAAAAGTATGTTTTTGAGCCACTCAAGCCATAAATGTTTTGTGACTCACTCTGGAACCACAGGAAAATTACATCATGACAATACCAACTGGCTAATCCCAAACCCTTTACTATAGTGACTATCCTGAGCTGTGACGTCAAAGGTGGCAGACAGGGACCATTTCTTAATTTTAAGAGCCTTCAAAAGAGAATCGAGCAATGGTGAAATGTCTAATACAGTGGTTCACAACCTGGGGCAGGGACTGAAAAAAAAAGCTAAAAAAGTTTTCAATTTTCAGTGAAGGATTCCCATGATCTTGGAAAACTGCGGTTTAGAATAATGATATTTCTAGACTTGGAAAAGCTATGGAAATAAATAAAAAATATTCTAGATATGCCAAGCTCTAAAATATTTTATCAGGAATAAATTGTGCATAAAGAAGAATTGTGTGAGAAAAATTATGAATATTTATCCAATGGGGGGCCTTGGAGTCACAATGGTTGAGAACCACTGATTTAATATAATAGAATAAACTATCTGTAGAAATTGTGCATAAAGAAGAATTGTGTGAGAAAAATTATGAATATTTATCCAATGGGGGGGCCTTGGAGTCACAATGGTTGAGAACCACTGATTTAATATAATAGAATAAACTATCTGTAATTTATGTTTTGCTTAAAAATGATTTAGACATAATACACAGCTAATTCTGAATGACAGTCAATGGAGAGTATTTGGTTTTTAGGTACCGGAGTATGTAATTATGACCAGCAGGGGCCAAACTAACTAGCCAAACCCTGACTCCTTTAAACACTGCAGTCTCTGTACATCTATCACTCATCACAGAAAATAACCTAAGCTGTGGATTGAATAAGAATGAATTGTAAGCACTTATTGAACTGCTCTGTTTTAATGCAAGAGTAATTAAACTTTTGGATCCCAAGGACTTGAGTGCCAAATATGATGTTCACGGTGTTAGAGATCCCCTTTCTAAATATAAAGGCAGCTTAAAAAAAGTGTATACAAGACAATTTAAACTGTGAGAAAAATAATAGTGATATTATGAAGACATGATCCTGTCACTGTATACTACAACCAAAGAAGTTACTAAAATGGTATAAAATAGAACAAAATAGTTCTCATGATTTCCAACCAGTCTTTAAAAAGCTAAATGAAAGAGAATGGACTATTTTCGCAGATTGTGATGACATGTTTCCAAAGTTATTAACATCATAAATCTAGCAAAGTTTTTTACATTTTCATTTTTAAAAGAACTTTGTGTCATTTTCATAAAGCTATTTATAAATCTTGGCATTAAATTACAATAAATTGGCAATCAATTATTTTCCTCTTTTTGAAAGAAACGCTAATGTGCAGTTTTGTCTTTTGCTATTGGAGAAAATAGTAACAAAAAATTATATTTGTTGCAGGCTCTGTTCACCACTATAGAAGTATATGAACTATGATGACTTCCACTTCTGTCCATTACTTAACTTAAAGGGATAGTTCACCCAAAAATGAAAATTCTGTCATCATTTACTCACCCTCATGTTGTTACAAACCTGTATGAGTTGCTTTCTTATGTTGAACATAAAAGAGTTGGTGGTTGCCATTGACTTCCATAATAGGAAAAAAAATACTATGGAAGTCAATGGCAACCACCAACTGTTTGATTACCAGCAATCTTCAAAATATCTTCTTTTATGTTCAACATAAGAAAGCAACTCATACAGGTTTGGAACGACATGAGGGTGCGTAAATTATGACAGAATTTTCATTTTTGGGTGAACTATCCCTTTAACTACTTACAGTGCAGTAGTTAGCTTTGGTTAAATTGGAACGCAAGCACTTAGTGAATAAGATGCCTTTTTTCGCTCTGAAATATGTTTTTCACTGTTTGCTGAATCGACAGCCCACAAATGTTGAATAATGTTGATTTAAGTGTACAGGCCTTTGTGAACCAGGGAAATGTTCATCTGATGCATAAAAATTCACTAGCATAGAAGTTCATTTCAGTTCACACTCTTTACTGAACATTAGTTCAGTAATGTAAGCAAATGCACACTGTGTCCACACTATGTTTTCTGTTTCAACAGATACTTGTCAGCAAGCATCACTGCCATCTCCACTTCTCTTCTCTCCTGCCTTTAACGTTCATTTTTGGGTGAACTATCCCTTTAACTACTTACAGTGCAGTAGTTAGCTTTGGTTAAATTGGAACGCAAGCACTTAGTGAATAAGATGCCTTTTTTCACACTGAAATATGTTTTTCACTGTTTGCTGAATCGACAGCCCACAAATGTTGAATAATGTTGATTTAAGTGTACAGGCCTTTGTGAACCAGGGAAATGTTCATCTGATGCATAAAAATTCACTAGCATAGAAGTTCATTTCAGTTCACACTCTTTACTGAACATTAGTTCAGTAATGTAAGCAAATGCACACTGTGTCCACACTATGTTTTCTGTTTCAACAGATACTTGTCAGCAAGCATCACTGCCATCTCCACTTCTCTTCTCTCCTGTCCTCACCTCTTCTGTGACAGTAATTTGAAGATGGCAGCTTCGTGGGCACACTAATAGGCTCTAGAGTTGAGTGCTGGGTAAGGTGCTGCCCCCCTGGCCGAACTGTTCCCATTGCCTTCTCTCCCAAAATCCGGTCTACTTGCTGCCATGCATGAATTGCCAGCCACAGGAAAGTTAAAAAAGAGGAGTCTAAATTAAGTGCCCTTTCATTCCAGCATTTTCATGGTTTGGCTAAAAACAGGGTGCAAGATGATTCACATTTTATGAGCCCTCTCTTGCGGCCGCCTGCGTCACCCTGGCGCTCGGACTCTACGGCTCATTCACACGTCTCTCTCCCTTTCTCTCTCTGTCCTGGTCTTATGCTTTGTCTTCTATTGCACTCAGTGCTTAGAGATATATTTTTTTAATCACAGGTGACATGGCATGGTTAACGAAAGGCATGGGCAACATTACGCATTTCACAATTTTTAATAATATTAATCGACAAAAATGTATTACTTTCTCGATATGTTATTGGACTTTTCGATGCTTGCAATGTGTCATTGAATAAAGCCTTGATGAATAAACAACTTTGTGGTTACACTGGTGTTGGTTTATCTTTTCCTGGAGAATATGCTGAATGAACAAGACAGTCCATAACACCCCTGTAGCAGACGTAGCCAGCCTAACGTTCATGCTTTTAGCAGAACACAAACTTAGTGGTTGGAAGAAAAAGAAATAGGAAGGGGATAGACATTTCTCTAAACAAGTCTGACAGCTACTACCATTCTGACCACTGTCCATTATCATTTCCGCACCATGGCTGCTGTTGGCCTGGCAACTGCTGCCAGAAAAAAACACAAGGCAGAGGAACTCATATGGGTGAAGTACACAGATGTGCTACTGGACAATGAGCTGCACTTCAAACTCAAAGCCTATGTGTTGTGTAATGCTGCCCTCTGCTCTTCATGAGTAGTTTTGCAATGAGCCGTTAATAAAAATCATTAGTGTGTGTGAATTGGTGGTGAATGATGACTATATTTGCATGTGTTTCCTAATGCAAATTTGTACAAAAACGGCTTTATACTCTAATGTATACATTTATATTTATATCAACTTACTGTATATCCATAATTGTGCCAAAAAGAGAGTATCAACTCTCAGCTCACAAAAATGTTCAAAGAACATTTAGCTAACGTTCAAGTTATGAAAATGTTATTTTTGAATGTTATCTGAACAAATAATTCTAAACAAGTTTTTTTTTTTTGTAAATTTTTTTTCTTGGTCATGTGACTGTAAAGGCAACATTAAATGGGTCCTATTATGCTCTTTTACAAAGTCTTGATTTTGTTTTGGGGGTGTACTAAAACACCTTATTTTTCACATATTTTACATTATTACAACACCTCTCTCCCCAGTCTGGCATGAACGGCTTGAATAGTTCCTGTATCAAATGAAGGCCTGCCTTCAGTGTAAATATTCCTCAAAATCAAATCAATTTGAGCGCAATTTAAACCTTTCGTCTGCTTTGGGAAAGCTACCGTGTCTCCAACATAGTGATAATACTCGTTGCCTTCTCTAGTGCAGCTCAACCAGGTCTCGTCCCATTCGACTCGAATAGTTCCTGTATCAAATGAAGGCCCGCCTTCAGTGTAAATATTGCTCAAAATCAAATCAATTTGAGCGCGATTTAAACCTTTCGTCTGCTTTGTTGTCTGTCCAAACGAGTCGTTCGTTGTAGTTTTTGAAAAGTGATTTCTGTTAAATAAAATATCTCATTTTGAAGTGGACTTTGAGCTTTGTAACTTTGCAGATCTTTTTTATGCTCAAACAGCAACATTACAGACTAACTAAAGTTGAAAAAGTGAAAAAACACATAATAGGACCCCTTTAAGGGGAACGTCCCATTTTATTATCTTGCAAACATGGGAATGTTACTTTTGAATGTTCTCTAAACCATCTTAGATGAACGTCCAACTAAAATATTTCAGGAAAAAAGTTCTATAAACGATGTATAAATAACATAGTGTGCTAATGTTTTGAGAATGTAATAAAGACAAGGTGACTTTGAATGAATGTTCTGTTAATGTTACTGGAAGAATGTTTATTCACAACCTTGCCAGAACGTTAGACAAAGTTCTGAGAACGTTCCCTGGAAAAATATTGGATATGTTTTTGATGGGGGGCATGTCCTAGTACTGATTAAAGGCTACAAACACCCCTGTGGAATGCAAAGTGGAAACAAGTTGGTCACCAAGTTGTGTGAACATGATGGTGCGATCATGCTACGTCAGAAATATTCATAGTCTAATAACAAATTCTCAAATTTAATGAGCAATGTTTCAGGAAAAAAGTTCTATGAACGATGTATAAATAACATAGTGGGCTAATGTTTTGAGAATGTAATAAAGACAAGGTGACTTTGAATGAATGTTCTGTTAATGTTACTGGAAGAATATTTATTCACAACCTTGCCAGAACGTTAGACAAAGTTCTGAGAACGTTCCCTGGAAAAATATTGGATATGTTTTTGATGGGGGGCATGTCCTAGTACTGATTAAAGGCTACAAACACCCCTGTGGAATGCAAAGTGGAAACAAGTTGGTCACCAAGTTGTGTGAACATGATGGTGCGATCATGCTACGTCAGAAATATTCATAGTCTAATAACAAATTCTCAAATTTAATGAGCAATATCGATGGACAAATTCAATTTTTAATAGGCCTACATATTTCTTACATGACTTACCAAACGCTTGTTCAGTACTTGAGTCAAGAGTCACTGAACAGTGCATTGTTTCTTGAACCTACACGCTAACAAACAAAACGATAGTCCGATTCATGAACAAATGATTCTCATGGGTCGGTTCTTTTAATCAAAACATTCAACTTGAGTTACCAATCTGAATCAGTCTGACGTCGAATCCGGAATCAAGGCATGACTCAAGTACTGAACTTTCGTTCCATGGCACCATTACTTCAATATGCCATCAAGCAAAAATGTATGTATTTATTTATTTATTTAAAACCTTTTTTCTCTCGCCCAGAATGTCTACAATATTTAGTTAACAATATTAAGTTTATATTCAGAGACTCAAAATTAACTTCTAATAAACATCTATCACAGGACTATCCAAACTCGGTCTTGGAGGGCCGGTGTCCTGAAGAGTTTAGCTCCAACTTGCCTCAACACACCTGCTGGTAAGTTTCTAGTATGCCTATAAGAGCTTGATTAGCTGGTTCAGGTGTGTTTAATTGGGGTTGGAGCTAAACTCTGCAGGACACCGGCCCTCCAGGACCAAGTTTGAGCACCCCTGATCTATCATAACTTCATCCTGATCAGGCCAGTCTGTTTTTAGCTTCCAGAAAACATGCTATTTTGGACACAGTTTCCTTCTTATAGCAGCGGCATTACATATATGCTACATTATCATGACCACGTAGCCTTTACCAAAGATGCTATATAACGGAAAATAAAAATCCACCACAAAGACATGGTAATGAATTACATTCCATAGTTACAACTGTACACAGACTGACTGAACAACTCTTCCAACCTTCATTCATGCCAAAGCAGGAGGAAGATCTGGGCAGTTGGCGAGAGGAAATGGTGTGGCTGCTCTGAGGTTTGGAGGAAGAATGGGAAGTATGCTGTTACTGTGGCGCTGGTCAGACAGCAGGCTAGGTTTCCACACCACAGCTGCCCTGACCACATCTGTCCTTTGCTCTCACTCAATCTTCTCAGCCATTTAAGCTATAAAATGCTTCCTCACTAAATACGGCTCCACCCAAGTCTTAAACTGTGACATTAAAAGAACACCCCCTACTACACCCACATAACAGTGAATAAAACGGGCTTGCTCGGCTGTTAAAATTGTTGGAGCGGCCCAGCCAGCTTTTCATTCTCATGTTCTGATGTTGTTTGTGGTCATCGTTGACCCTTTATGAACAAGCAGGAGATAAAAAGACAGAGCAGTGATGAGAGGGAAAATGTTCATGAAAACTGGACTCAGTGAGTAACAGGAGAAGAGCAAAATAAGTACACAAAAATATGTTTTTAATTCAATATTTTGACTTTTCTAAAACTTGAACTCTTAAAAATAAAGGTTATTAATTGGCATTTGTGTAGAACCTTTAAATTCCATGGAATCTTTCCACTGCACAAAAGGTTATTTATAGTGTAAAGAGGTTCTTTAGATTATTAAAATTCTTCACACTAAAAAAAAATTGGTTTCTTCTATGGCATCACTGGGAAAAAAAACTGTTGTGTTGGGTAATATGCAAATCAAGTCACAGTCTATGAAGAGATGGCACACATTTACCTGCTGTTAGTTTTTCTAAAAATTTTAGCTGAAATAGCCACATTTTTACTTTATAGTGTAAAGAGGTTCTTTAGATTATTAAAATTCTTCACACTAAAAAAAAATTGGTTTCTTCTATGGCATCACTGGAAAAAAAACTGTTGTGTTGGGTAATATGCAAATCAAGTCACAGTCTATGAAGAGATGGCACACATTTACCTGCTGTTAGTTTTTCTAAAAATTTTAGCTGAAATAGCCACATTTTTACCTTGATGTTCACCTTGATCTGTGTCCAAATATGGTTAATTAAAAATATAGCTATTTTAAAATACATTTTGTAAACATTGTGATATTCATGAAATCATAAAAACTCAAGCAAAGTCTGCCATTATCCTAAATATTTCACATGCCCTGTGTTCAATAAAGTCACACAAGCTCTGTGAGTGTTAAGTTTGTACATAATTGGGCTAGGATTTTGTGTGTCACAACCATATGTTGGCTATGAAATGCAGTTTGGAATGCAATTTTGATAACACCACGAGCTGTCAACACCATTCGATTTTCTGACTGTAGTGAGAATTCACAGTGGATGAGCTCAAAATCAGTTTGCAGTTTCCAAAACATCCCTTTATACCAACTTTTATCCCATCAATTTCTCACCTAAACATTTCTTAACCCTTTTAGCCCCTCAGTCCACATTTCTATGTTTTACTGTTGATTATTGTAACGTCAATTCAAAATGATAATGTCTGGAAATTACAGGGAATGTTTTTCACACAAAACACGCTGTTATAGGAATAATTCAAACATTGTATTAGAGTATTTGTTTTTTGCTACATTGACGTAAAAAAAAGTTAATATAGGCCTATGCAATGTGTGCAAATATGTGGCATATATGCTGTGCTTAAATAAACTTACAATAATGATCACATGATATGAGTGTTGTTTAAATTTAAATAGGCCTACATCAAGTACATATTGTGAAAAATGAACAAATTAATGCGGAGAGCTCCGCAATCTCTGTCTTAAAGAGAGCCGTGGAGCTCTACCACAGCTCGCACTTTCAGGAGGCTCTGGTGTGCTACCAGGAAGGGATCCAGCTCCTGTTGGATGTACTGAAAGTTATGATTAAAAACAGTGTGGAAATGGCAAACGTCTTCTTTTGCTGATGGACTGAGATGCTATACTTAATAAGTAAGATCACTGTTTTTCTAGATGTAAAAGATGATTCAAAGAAGGGCCACTACAGGGAGAAAATCAAGGGCTACATGGACCGAGCAGAACAGATCAAAGACCATGTGAACAAACTGAAAGAAGGTAGTTGGTTCAGCAAAAAAAAAAAAAAAAAAGTGCTTTAAACCAGGGGGTTTCAAACTGTGCTCCAGGAACCTACAAAGGACTGTGGAAGAGTTTGGAGAAAAGCCATTTTAAAAAAATATATATAATGTGATTAAAATAAATATTCACATTATTATATAATGATAATGTGCAGCTGCCTAATAAAATTTAGGGTTGATCATATTTGGGGGTCCGTGGCATCTACAAGATTGAAAACCCATGGCTTAAACAACTTTTACTCTTCACATTGGCTCAGTTTTCTCATTGTTGTCTCATCTGTCAGAGGGTAAATACCATGAGCAGATAAAGATAGCAGCTAGTTCCACTGGTTTCAGCTATGAATCCCTCTTCAAACCCTACATTAGAGACGGACTGAATGAAGTCTGGGTGGAAGACCCTTATGTACGGCATGTCCATCAGGTAGAGACTACAATGACGCTCCTGAATGTACAGTATAGAAAAGAGCAGTAATGTATCTCAGAATGACACATTACACATGTTTTGTTTTGCCAGTTGTATAATTTCCTTCGTTTCTGTGAAATGCTGCTGAAATGCCAGTGTAAAGTAAAGACGATTCACCTTCTGACCTCGCAGGATGAGGTAAGATTTTCCAACTTCCACAAACCGTTTTAGATTTGCATTGACTAACACACAGAAAACTATGTATAATGTTTGTCATTTTGTTCATCAGAGGCTTCCATTAAAGTTGAACTTAATCTTGTGGTTTTCCAGGACAGCTCTGCTCAGCAAACCAGTGCCCTGGCAGAAATAAAGCAGTCGCTACGGAGTCAAAATGTCTGTCTGGACATTTAGTACTCATCTACTATTCATGACAGGGAGATCAGGTACATCTCAAATCATTCTCATTTACTGTATATTGCAGCAAACACACTGGGCGTTAATGTTACAACTTTGTTCTGTGTCTATAATCTATATAATTTTGTTTTCTCAGGTTTAATAATGGTTGGATTATTAAGATTGGCAGGGGACTCGATTATTTCAAAAAACCCAAGGTACCACCTAAATGAAACCGTTATCATGTTTGCACATTCATGTTTATTAAGCATTTATTAAAGGGGTCATATGATGCTGCTAAAAAGAACAGTATTTTGTGTATTTGGTGTATTTGGTGTAATGAAATGTGTTTATGTGGTTTAAAGTTCAAAAAACACATTATTTTCCACATACTGTACATTATTGTTTCTCCTCTATGCCCCGCCTTTCTGAAACGTGTCGATTTTTACAAAGCTCATCGGTCTGAAAAAGCGAGGTGTGCTGTGATTGGCCAGCTATCCAATGCGTTGTGATTGGCCGAATACCTCAAGCGTGTGACGGAAATGTTACGCCCCTCACATACTGTTGATGCCGTGTCCGGCCGGAACGACGAGACATAAACGTTAAAACCCATTACAAATGAGGCATTTGTTGCATCCAGTGGGGACATAATTACTGATTATAATGACTTATACTGTCTTTTTACGCGTTGCGTTGCATTGCATCACGCCGCGTAAACATAAAACTCTGTCTGCATTTGTGATCGGAGAAATGACAAACAACAAGTGCTACTCTACTGCCCAAAACTCGCGTTTGAATCATCAGTGGCAACGAAAAACACAGCGGCCTAGCGTGCGGGGAAGCCATGGTTTAGCGTGCGCTGATGCCAAGATAGAGTGAGCTGAGGCCGGGCTAGCGTAACCCGAAGCCCCGGCTTAGCGTGTGCTGAGGCCGGGATAGAGTGAGCTGAGGCGGGCTGGACTCCGCTTTGTCCACGGTGAAAGTTGATGTATTCCCTCAGCGACCAGCACAGATCAGCTCTAGGCATGACGAAGCGGATATCGTCCTCTTTTGGAAGACCAAACAAAGTAGTTTCGCTTTCACAACGAATCACACAGCGTCTTCAGGACATGGCTGCAGCGTCAACAATACTACAGCGAGAATAAAAGTTACGCCTTCTTTCTTTGCGTGAACATTTGGGAGGCGTTATGCAAATCTTCCAACATCGTGACATAGGTATGTGGGGGCGTGTTAGAACGAGCCGTTTTAGGTAGGCGTGGTTAACTCTTAACTTTTATAAAGAATATCTCTTTGGATTTGAGACTTTAGTGTTTGCAACTTCACAGATCTTCTTTATGCACCAAGAGCTTGGAACACTCCAAAGAGAAAGGAAAAATTTAAATCGCATCATATGACCCCTTTAAAACAAAACAAAAAACTACTATTTGTGCATGTTTGCATAATGGACGTATAAGACTTTTTTTCTCTCTTTTTTAAGGGCCGCTTCTCTGTAGGATACTGTGATTACGATTTTAGAGAGTGTCATGAGACTACTGTGGACGTGTTTCATACAAAACACACTAAGAAGACATAATCTTGCTTCAAAAGCACTGTCTGGCATATCTATGGGACGTAATTTCAAATGCAATCCTCACATACCAACCCGGGCAACTGGAAATGTGCCTTTTGATCCCATGTACAACTTTTAAATAATGCAAAAGAACTGATTTTATTGCCCGTTTTAAAATGTTCTGATATGAATGACAAAGGAATATTCAGAGGTCTTCTCTACACCATTACTTCTATTCTGCTGTTTTCAAACAATTGGAGCACTAGTAGGCTATATGATAAGGTGATTGATACTGATATGTATTTATTATATGTTTGCTTCTGTAATTAAGATAAAAACCGAAGTGCATTTGTAAATAAGGTAGTAGTCTGTTAGTAGTAAGAGCCCTTTATAAAAAAAACTTTTTATTATTTTGTTTTTTAGACTTGCACTTGCGTTTGTAATTTGTTGTTTTGTTTTCAGAATTGTGATTTGCTTTGCACTTCTCTGCCACCGTACAATGTGGATATCAATAAAATCTATATTCTGTGCCTCAGCAGCGCCATCCCGTGGTCAGCGAGTGAACCTCCACTCATCATGCAAAAGCGAATGATTTGCGTTTATATTACACCTTGTGTTCAGCGACACGTATGGCTTGATAGGACGGTGTTTTGCTCCACAGGCTCAGTTAAAGAGCAAGTGAACGCCAGAGATCACCTCGCCTGCACTTTCTCAATGATTTACCTCAGAATGTGAGTATACGCGACTACATTATATTTATATTCAGTTTTAGGTTTTATAAGTTTTATATGTCAGTTGTCGTGTTAATTTTGATTTAAGATATTGTTATAGTGGTTAAGGTTAGTTTTTGTTTTGTTTTCTAAATTAAAACTCCGAAATATGCGCATACTGTGACATGTACTGATTAAACGGTAACCCACATAATGCGTTTTTGAATATCTCTTTATATAAAGTCATATTTATATGGGCCAATGGATTTGGGACATTCATACTATAAAAGGCTTGCTGTTGGTGGAAGGACAAGGGCTGTTGTTGACTGGTGATGTTGATTTGAATAACTGTAAATAAAAAGCAGTCGGTGTTGTTGTCGTATTTGTTTGCTTGGACATGTTTGTCTGAGTTGCTTCTTTTGCCTGTTATATATTTTTTTTACAATGAAACAATTCCCTGCAGGGGAGATTAAATCTATAATCGCACTTAATCTGGATATGTGCTCCTCATCTCAGTTCATTCAAATGTAGAGCGTTGTCTCTAAATAACACTATTCATCTCTCAAGGGAACAGACTGGAGTGATGATGGTCAGGATGGTGAATCTCATGAAACATATCCCGGACATTAAGATGTTTTTGAATTGTGACACTATTTTCATGAGAATTCAGCATGATTCCTCTGTAATTTTTATATATAAAGTCATCATTTTACAGAACAAAAGACACGGTTTATTTAATGCACATTGATAATGTGTGAGAACATGAATGAGTAGTTTATCATGCATATGGGGTAATCAACAATTATGAAAAAAAAAACTTAAAAAGTAGCATAAATGTAACTTAACAAAAATATAAAACCAATAATTTGACCAGCAAAACTACAAAATATTTGTATAATTAATAAATTGTATAAAATTACTAAATTGAAAATACATGACAATTTGTCCTGACCTAACATTTATGAAAAAAATCCCTAAAACAACCTGCAGTTGGCCTGACTGGCTCTGTTCATTTTAGATCTTTTATCAAATAGCTTCCTTATGCTCTTACTATCAACATACACTTGCTCTTGCTGATAGAGTGCTGGGTGACGTGTTATATAGACTGATGCCTTCATCAGCTCTGCATCCGGCCAGCCGCAGCACACTCTCTGTGCTCCAAAAGCTGTTTAGTGTTTAGTAAGGAGCTTAAGCGTGCAGGAAAAGCATGAGTTGAAAATGTAATGGAGTTCGCCAGTCAGTGTGTCCATCCATCAGTGCAGCTCTTTGTCAGAGCCTGCTTTTCCTTTTCTTTTTCCTCTTCCTCGCTTTCTTTTTCACCAGTTCCTCTCCTGATTTTGCTCTTTCTCCGGTCTGTCTTCCAGTTCCTCCATCTCTCTACATTTAAGAATAGTCTTTCCTATGGAAAATGTAGTGAGAGGGAGGACTCTCAACATGCCATTAGGTCGTAAAATCTATCTGGTCTAGCAAAGGTGTCAGGGTTGCCATGGTAACCAGGGTCCTGGGCCTCGTTCACAGACATCTTGGCACCCAGTATGTTTATTGGGTGAGGGGTCTGTGAATGTTTGTTAATCTAATGAATAATTGATTTGTTAAATCAAATGAAAAATGGTGTGTCTGATTGGTCCAGACGCTACATGTCTGTTAGTTTTCCTTTGACCTAGTTTTGCTGAGTTGTCTTAATTATGTAATTCTGTTCACCTGGGTTCCATTAAGTCATTAGTTCCTCGCTTGCTTTTGTATTTATACTCCCTGCTTTGTTCAGTTCCTTGCCGGTTATTGTTTGTGTCTACATGTTGGTTCTAGTGATTCTTCTGTGTTCCTTGTGGATTTATTATTAAATGACTGCTGTGGATTATTTATTCTTCGTCATGGGTTCATTTATAAGCACCAAGCGTGACAGAACAAGCGGCCTAACATAGTGATTAATCTGCGGCGAGATGGATATCCCGGCTGTCAAGTTCCTTTGCTTGGAGCAAGAGGATCGCTCTCTCGAGGATCACACGAGGGACTTTTTAGACCTGATGTACAAGACTCACTACCTGGACAGCTGCCTTTATTATGTTGGACTGAACACCTTTACTTAGGCCAAGCTGTTCGGGGAAAGTCCTCTGAGGATCTTCGCCGCATTTGTGGAGTGGGTGCTAGTGAACTGTGGATCGCCTTTTACCATCGGCCCAGCAGAGGAAATCACCAGCCCCACTCCCGACCCGACCCAGAGCCCAGCCAACAATCACCCCGCTGCATGGAGCATCTGCCAGAGCTCGTCGCGATTTGAAGAGCCAGCACGAGGAGAAGCGACTACGCCTACCATCGCCCTGGAGCCAGAAGCTGTCTGGGTCCACCGCGGTCCCTCGTCCATCCGGCACTGCCTTGGTCAGTTGTTGGCCTTCCTCCGCTATGGGATTCCACTCCTCCGGCTTCACCTCGTCCCTCTAGCCCTCTAGTTCCATCTGGCTCCTCCTTCCCTCCGGCTCCACCATTGTCCTCACTCTCTGGCTCCACCGCGGTCTTCCGGGTCCCTGTCTCCGCCTCGTTCGCATGAGCTGTCAGCTCCAACTTGGCCCTCCGGACCTCGGGTGTTACCCTGGCTCTCCGTCTGCTCTGCTTCACCTGGATCTCCACCTCCAGTGGCTCCGTCTCCATCGCTGGTCCCCAGGGTGTCGCCTGTCAAGTTTCCACCATGGCTCCTCCCTCCTTCGACTCCGCCCTGGGGCCTCATCCTGGCTGGTCTCTGGACCAACATCTGGCTCCTTCTCCTCCTGGCCTCCCCCTGACACCTCTCACCCTCCGCTCCCCATGGACTTATTTGTACTTGTTTTGGTTCTGCCCCTCTCCTGCTCCACATCCCCCTCCAGAAACCCTGCCCTCACCTTCCTGTGTGTTTTAGTTTTTCTTTGACCTGGTTTTCCTGAGTTGTCTTCATTATGTCACTCTGTTCACCTGAGTTCCATTAAGTCATTAGTTCCTTGCTTTTGTATTTATAGTCCCTGCTCTGTTCAGTTTCTTGCCAGTTATTGTTTGCCACATTGGTTCTAGTGATTCTTCTGTGTTCCTTGTGGATTTATTATTAAAAGACTGTTGTGGATTATTTATTCGTCATCATGCACTCATTTATAAGCACCTAGCATGACAGTAAACAAGGTTAGTTTTTGGTCCATTGTTTTTCTGCCACTGTGTGTATTTGTAATGGCAGTATATCAGGTCTTTTTAGTTGGGCTGTGCCAGAAGTTTCTGATAAATCTGTAGTTGTAGGATTAGTGCTGAGTGAAATCTTACAGTGATTTCTATGCAGTGTCATCCAGCCCAAAGATAATCTTCATATTCTGTGTGATTTGTGTCTGATGCTACTGTAGGTATCGGCTTTGTTAACATGGCAGTGACTGCTTACACTAAGGAAAAAGGCACGTTGACAAGCTGTTACATGCTGATTATGTATCCATTTCTTATATGCACTGCATAGTCTGCATAATATTTTCCCCCCCAAAGGAATACATAAGAATTCAGTCTTGAGTACTCAAACATGAAGACATATTGTATTTAGTTTAACAATAGTTTGCATACTGTTGGATAGTTTGCATATTGGAGGTTCTTCTGTGTAAATTAAGCAGGCAAACACATTAGAGCAGCAACTGTCAAAAAAGGTATGGACTTTGCATGTATTTTTTCTGTTGCATATCTGCCTTATCAAGGCATGGTCAGTGATAAGAAAGGTTTGTTGTTATAATAAATGATATGGACACCCATAGTGTTGAAATAAGTGTGACGCACATTGCTCAAAATAAGAACACAGTCTCACATATTTCACTTGAAGTCCATGTGAACAAGATAACTGGTTCCTGGAGGAAGTCACAAACTCAGTTTGAAAATGAGGAGAGTACTAGCTTGAATGCCAATGGAAGCACACATGCCTACAGTACTGACCCCTGACTTAAAGGCACAATATGTATGATTTTTTTATTAAAATATCCAGAAACCACTAGAACATTGTTATGTATTTTGCTGACTTGTGTACTTACATTATCCCAAATGTTTCGAAGCATGTTTAAATCCAGAGAAATAAGCAATTTTAACTAGTGACACGGACCGTGTCCATAGTGTTATTGTGTCGCCTGCCAATGACGTCATAACCCCCTCGATTTTTGGTTTTGTTTTGTAGAAAACATGGAAACACCAAAGACGCTTTAATATGTTGTGCGTTTTAATAGACCGGTGACGACCGCACAGAGTAACATTATAACAGAACTTTCAAATGTATCTAGTATGATAAAACAGCTCTGATTTTTCTCCCACATACGCACGACTGGAAGGAGCGGAAGCAGTCGACTGTGGCATAATAAAAGCTCCTCTGCTTTCAAGCCGTGTGTCACGCTCGTTCAGCGGCCTCGTTTCACTTCGACGGCTTTTAGCCTCACCCTGCTTCATTCTACTACGTTAATAAATCATTAGCTCATCCATGAACATGATTTCTGCCCGAGTCCCGTCAGATTGCATCGGCTGTGGGGATGAAGACCACAACTCCCATGATTCCACACTCAGTCACAGCGTCATCAAACTATGCCTTTGTCTATTTGTTTATTTTGAATACGCACCCTCTAGCGGCCAAAATTACACATTGTGCCTTTAAAGCAGTCTGCTTTTAATATGCCCTATGTG